CTCCTGACTCAGGATGCCTGATGATTCCCGCCTCTGAAAAGACAACTTACAAAAAGTGTGACCTTCTGAGAAAAAGCACATAATGAATGAAAAAACTCCAAAGGAGTCTAATATAGATTTTTGAGTGAATATAGTAACTATAAAAAATTTAGTCAAAGCAATTGGGATTTTTTCTGCATTTTAAAATATGCTCAAAATAATATCAGTTATTAAATTCAGTTTATTGGGGGGCCTGGGTGGCTCAGTCGGTTGAGTGTCTGACTCTTGATCTGGGCTCAGGTCTTGACCTCTCAGGGTTGTAAGTTCAAGTCCTGCGCTGGGCTCCATGTTGGGTGTGGAGCCTACTTAAAAATAAATAAATTCAGTTTACTAATTCAGTTATTAAAAACTAAAGAATAACTTATAGTGATAGAACTTGAGAGTCCTTATTACTTTGTTTCATTTTGTTTGACTACTTATCAACTGATATATTTCCAGTCTCTGACAGTGCTATGTACTGAATTGTGTCCCTCAAAATTCATACGCTGAGGGCGCCTGGGTGGCTCAGTTGGTTAAGCGACTGCCTTCAGCTCCGGTCATGATCCTGGAGTCTCGGGATCGAGTCCCACATCGGGCTCCCTGCTCAGCGGGGGGGTCTGCTTCTCCCTCTGACCCTCTTCCTGCTCATGCTCTCTGTCTCTCATTCTCTCTCTCAAATAAATAAATACAAAATCTTAAAAAAAAAAAAATTCATACACTGAAGCCCTAACCCCCAACGTGACTGCATTTGGAGATAAAGCCTTTAGGAAGGTAATTAAGGTTAAATTGATGAAGGATAGTTGGAAGGCGGGCAGGCAGGGACAAGGGGCCCCTACCCTAGGAGGAAATCACCTGTAAAAGGATTTTACACATGGAAGGAGCCCTCCACCCTTTCCTGTATGATAAATAGGTGACAAAAATCTGATCGGATGACATGCGCAAGGAAGGTTAATCAGATTAAAACGTTGGGCCAACAGGCCCATAAAAACCCCTAGACTTAGAAACTCTGGTGGCAACCCCCTCTCTCCTTGGGAACTTTGTACTATTACTTTGCTATCGCTCAATAAACCTTGCTTTGCTATCCACCACTGTCTGGCCTACCTCTTTGTTCTTTGAAGTGGCATGACCAAGAACTGCGGGCACCAACAGAGAAAAAAATCCTGTAACAAAATGAGGTCATAAAGGTAGTGCCCTAATCCAAAAAGACTGGTGGCCTTACAAGAAAAAGAGAGGACGCCTGGCTGGCTCAGTTGATAGAGCATGTGACTCTTGATCTTGGGGTTGTGAGTTTGAGGCCCATGTTGGGCATACAGATTACTTGAAAAAAAAAAAAAAAGAGGAAGAGAGATTTCCCTTGCCCTCCAGCTTGCAAGTGTGGCCTTTTAATGTGGCTTTGCTTCAGACAGGGGATGTTAATAGAGAAACTAACAGAACTGCTGGGCAAACAGTAGCACTAAGCAGAAAGTCTCAATAGTAGAAAAACTACAATGTCTCTTATGTTTAGTGGGCACCTTCTCCTCAACTTCTATTTTGAGGTTTCTCCAATCTTAAGAGAAAAGTTCCAATCTTAAGAGAAAAAGAAAACTCCTGTGGTGCTTTATCCCATTGTTTTTCCTATTAGGTCTCCTGCCTTCTGGTCCCATTAATCCCATTAATAGTGCAATCCGATTTCCTCCACCATGACCACGCCTACCTGCCACTATTCACAGTGAGCTGAAGAGCCGCCTTCTGTCAAATTCAAAGGATTCAGTCCCCACCTTGATCTCTTGGGTGCATTCATCACTGCTACACCCTTCTAGAAACTTTCTGTCCCCTTACTTCTAAGACACCAATCTCTCCTTGTTCTCTGACTAGGTCTCATGTCTCTCTCCCTTCTACCAATCCTTAAAGGTACATGTTTCACAGGGAATTTTCTTTTTTTTTTTTTTAAGACTGTATTTATCTGTCAGAGAGAGAGCACAAGCAGGGAGAGCTGCAGGCAGAGGAAGAAGCAAGCTCCCCGATGAGCAAGGAGCCCGATGGAGACTCGATCCCAGGACCCTGGGATCATGACCTGAGCTGAAGGCAGACGCTTCATGGACTGAGCCACCCAGGCGTCCCACTTCACAGGGATTTCATCCCTAGTGCTTTTCCTATCTCACTCAAAAGTCTTTTTGTGGGTGACCTCACTATCCATGGCTTCAACTCCGGAGCTCTTAAGAGTGTTTGGCCCTGACCCTGCTATGAACTCCAAGTCCATAGTTTTTATTTGTCTACAAAGTGACTCCACGTGGGTGTTCCATGAGCGCATCACAATTACATGTTCTGACCTTAACTCAGTGTTAAAAGCCGCATTTCCACCTGTTTTCCTTATTTGGTACTGTTATCCACCAGTCACCCAAGTCATACCCAGACTCTGTCCTCTCCTCCCACGACCTTTAGATTTAATTTGTCATGCAACCCTGTGGTTTCTGTCTCCTTCATAGTTCTTAAACCCTACTCTTTTCCACCATCACTGCCCCCAGTTTATTTGCTGAGAGAGGAAGAGAGATGTACATCAGAATCACCTGTGTGGTTAAATAAATAAATAAATAAATAAGCATTCTTGCCCTGCCCCCCTCCCGAGATTCCAAACCAGCATATGCTCTTCCTTACTTGCCCTGTTCTGATTCTTCCCCAGCCTCCAGTCCATCTTCCACACTGCTGACAGAATGATCTCTCAAAAACGAAACCTTAATAGTGCAAACTATCTGCTTATTTTTTCAGAGGTTCTTCAGAACCTTCAGCATAAAGTCCAAACTCTTCTGAAAACCCTTCACACTTTGGTTCTTGCCCACAGCCTTCCACCTCATCTCCTGCCACTCCCTTAAGGGCACCCTGCACTCCAGCCTTATCAAAGTGTGGTACTTTCTGTTCCTGGAGCATCCCTCCTTTCTTTGCCGTGCTGTTCTCAGTGGATATCACCCCTCATCCCTTCCTGCTTAGAAGTCACCTTGTTCCAAAAGCCTCTCCTGTCTTCTCCGGGCAATTAGGCATTGTCTGTGTTTCCACAGTATCTTGTTCATATCACGATTCTATATTTATTATCGGATAATTATATGTGTTTATACAATGTCTCACCACTAGCCTGTGAACAGACTGTTCAGTTCATTATTGTATGCCCTAACGTAGAGCCTGGCACATAATATGTACTCAATAAATGCTTGCTGAATGAATTTTTGAAGTAAGTTTTTTTTCTTATGTTATGTTAGTCACCATACATTACATCATTAGTTTTTGATGTAGTGTTCCATGATTCATTGTTTGCATATAACACCCAGTGCTCCATTCAGTACATGCCCTCTTTAATACCCATCACCAGGCTAACCCATCCTCCCACCCCCAAAGTTTTATGTTTTTCTGATTGCTTAAAGTATACAGTGTTTAATATGTCATAAAAATAATACTACTGACCCATTCTCAGGATAGAATTGTCCTTTGAAATCCTTTTAATGATGACAGTTTATATTTGAACAGTACTTTTAACTTTTCAAAGCACTTATCCCCCAACATTGTATTTTGAGTATTTCCTTACATAGGGGGAAAAAAAGTGAACACCCACATACCCATCACCTAAATTCTAATTCGACATTTTGTTATCTTAGCAAAACACTTTTTATGAGCTAATTTTATTATCACCCTTCATTTCATGTAATGACTAAAGTATGATTCTATGTTTTATAGTTAAGGAACCTGAGACCAAGAGAGCTTAATGACTTGCTAAGGAGATTATCTCCTGGAGTTGTGATCAGCTTGTGCTAGCTGACTCATCCATGCCCTCTGGGTATTGGATATATAACCAGGGTCTGAAAAGTATTTTGAATATCCTTGCTAATGAAAAGCTTCCAATTCCACAAGATAAGAGAAGCAGCAAAATCATGGGAAACCCACCAAGAAAACATTTCTAGCTCATAAGTCATCCGAAGAGGAATCCAGTCTTGGGTCGCCCTCCCCCTCACTCCACTTTCATTCTGGTTAGTCATTTCCTACCCGATGGGAGATGTTTCTTCCATCCATTCTTTTCCAGTACCAGATACAGATCTAGAATATCTTTCATCTCAGCTGCTCTACTTTCTCCTGCCTTTTCATTTGCCAGAGGCACATGACCTCCAATTAAAACACGACCCTAGTCATCTTTGTGTAGCTCACAAAACTTTATAACAAGTCACGTTTCCTACCAAATTAAGTCTGGTATAATCTCTGCCATCCACACCATAACCTATCTAAGTATCTGTCTTCTTACTCCTTAGCTTCCATCCTACATAACTAAGAGTTGTTGTTTTTCCAAACATGCCCAGGGTTTTCTTATTTCCTTTCTTCATGTATAAATCACCACCACTCCCCTCCCAAATTCCACATGTGTTAAATTCTAGACCTCCAACTCATGCCAATTCCGATAAACCTTCAAGAATCCTCAAGCCTGGGTTGTTGTTGTTGTTGTTTTTTCCCCTCTAAACATTTATTTTATTTCAAATTTTATCTTTTTTGGATCTTGTGGCACTTAGTTTAATCTACCTTGTAGATCTTTAGGGTCTGATTTCTCTTGCTACCTTCTGCCCCCTTTGCCTGCGTATACCACCACTGAAGAAAGGGACATTTTCATATCCATCATGGCCCTCGCACACAGTCGGTGCTTTATATGCTTAATTTCATTTAACGCAGCATATGTTTCCGAAGGGATGGGGGCGGATGCCCTTTTCTGTATTCACACTTACACTCACACGCACACACGCATGTGGTCTTCCACCTGGACACACACGTGTCCCCAGAGCCACAGCCCTGAACGGTCTCGGGACTCTCAGCCTGTGGGCGCTTCCATTCCAGCCAGCGGAAGGGGAGGCTCCATTCCTTTAAAACCCTCTAACAGATACTTGCTACCTTACACCTCCTACAGCTTCCACCCTACAAAAATCTTAAGATCTCCTTCCTGTCGAAATAGGCTTACCCCGAGTCCGGGAACCCCCGCCTCGTCGCGCCAGGGTCCGGTCCCACGGATCCCCCCTCCTGGTCTCGCTTGGTCGCGCCCGCTTTGTCAGCGCGCCGCGCTCGCCGGTTACCCTCCAGCTCTCGCCGGCCCGCGGCAGACAGCGCCGCCGCTGCCCCGGCTGCCTGGGCTGCTGTTGCTCGCGCGTCTCCCTCTCGGACTCCCCTGCCCAAGACTGCCCCTCGGCCTGGCCCGGGCGACGAGGACCCTGAGAGCGTCCGCTCGGGCGGCCCCCGAGAGTCTGCTCGGTTCGCCGGCTTCGACCTCGGCCAGGCTCCGCTCCTCCGGCGCGTGAGCGGCCTCGGTGGTTGCGGCGCCGGCGCCCGGCATGTATCAGAGCCCGCGGCGGCTCTGCTCCGCCCTGCTGCAGAGAGACGCGTCCGGCCTGCGCCGCTTGCCCAGCCCCGGGCTGCGCCGCCAGTCGCCTCCGCCGGCGGCCGCCCCCCGGCCTGCGTCCCCCCGGCTCCTGGCGGCGGCCTCGGCGGCCTCGGCGGCCTCGCGCGCCGCGCGGTCGTGCTCCCGAACAGGTGAGTGCGCGGTGCCGGGCGGGGAACGCCGCGGCTGCCCGAACAGGTGAGTGCGCGGTGCCGGGCGGGGAACGCCGCGGCTGCCCGCGCGCCGCCGCCGCCTGGAGACGGCGCGGAATGAATGGGAAGTCCCGGGCTGCGGGGGCGTGGGGTCAGGCCGGGAAGCGGGTCCTCCTCCTCCTCCTCGCTCCGCTTTCCCTTTCCCCTACCTGTCCTGGGGCTTGCATCACGTTCGGTAAGACCTGGACCACTCTCCAGGGTCCCGGTTGATCCCTGGATGCGGTGCCTTCGGCATTTCGCGTTCCTGACTTAACGCTGCCCCTGCCCCTTCCAAGGCCGCAAATTAACTTGTGTCTGTTTTATGGAAATTTTGTGTAGAAAAAAGTCACCTAAAGGGATGTTTTTTGATCATGTAGCTTTTGTATGATTTAGATGTTACGAATTTTTTTTTTAAGCCATGTTACTCGTATAGTAACACACTTGGACTTGTTTTACATTTATTTGGATTTTTTTCGGAGCCTTCCACTCTTACTACTTGGTCCATCTGTGTCCTGTATACCTGGGTTAAGATCTTGTAAAGGTGATGCCTTTCGCTTGTCAAGAGCCAATTTTATACATCACACACCCTGGACTTTCCCTTTTTTGCTACCTCCGTTTCTGCCTGAGGACACATTACCGTGTCCACAAATTATTACAAATTAATGATTTGTAAATGAGAAATGAAGGTTCTCTTTCAAAACTGGCAATTCATCACACTAAAAGTGCCTTTTGGCTGTGCTCAAGTTAGGTTATTGCTATTCAAAACATTCGTCTGACCATCCTACATTATAAATACATTTTGTTCAGAAAGTTTGGATTAATTAGGACAAATTGAACAGTAGAAGGAACAATGTGGCTTTAATGAAAGTGATAATCTGAAGGTGATTGAGTTAGAACTAAGACTTTAAACTCTTAGATTATTATTGGTGGGTGGTTAGGCTAAGACGTACTTTTAAAATTAGGGTGCTCACCTGGTTACTTAGACTCTAAACTCCATATTTTTTTTTTTTTTTAAGATTGATTGATTGATTGATTTGACAGAGAGACACAGTGAGAGAGGGAACACAAGCAGGGAGAGTGGGGGAGGGAGAATTGGGGGAGGGAGAAGCAGGCTTTCCTCCGAGAAGGGAGCCCGATGCGGGCGGGGCTCGATCCCAGGACCCTGGGACCATGACCTGAGCGGAAGGCAGGCGCTTAAGGGCTGAGCCACCCAGGCGCCCCTAAACTCCATATTCTTTAGAAAGGGTGGACTTGACAGTCCTATTCAAGTTTTTTGGCTTTTTGGGTTTTATTCTGCGATGAACACATTCATTACATGAAATTACACTGTTCCTATTCCCAGGATTTCTTTTCTCCCCCCGCCCCAGCTTTATAGGAATTTGGCACATTGTGAAATAGCTGTTAGTATGGGTGCCACCTAGTAACTGTTAGTTTCAACAGGTCGTTGTTAGGTTTGAGGTGGGAGAAGTAAAAAAGAAAACCAGTTCGTGTCTCCTCCTGTACCAGCTCATATCTCAAGAGTCCCTCAGGCCAAGGTAGTCAGTAGGTACATCTTGGGAACATAGATAGCTTGTATAACACAGATGGCGGATAACTGTGCTGAGGAAGAAAGGTCAGGTTAGATAGAGCATTTGGAATGTTAGGCTTTTGACACAGAAAGGTGTTTAATGAACTTTTTAAAAGTCTCTGAAAACCCTAGTTTTACAAATAAAGAAATTGAAAGAAATTTTGGTACTTAAACTTAGTTACTACAAAATCTAGGCAATTTTCCTTTTTCCTGCAGTTTTAGCTTCAGCTGCTTGTTAGAAGAAACATGTGAATACATTCATTCGCTTATTGCTTGATCTTCATTGAAGAAATTTTTGCAGAATGCCTCACACACTGTAGGTGCTTTATTAGGAGGTAAAAGAATGTGAGCCTTAGTCTGCCTTTACAAAGTTTACTCCCTAATAAGAGAGAGAAGAGCTTGCACACAAAAAAATAACTGTTTAATGAAATGAAACACCTTTTCTTCTCTTACAGTTAAAGTTTGCACATGGCACAAGGGTGCTGGAGATTGGGAAGTCCCAATCTTTTTAGCCTTCAAGAAATGGTTGATATTTGAGCTCAGCCTTGAAACATGGTTAGGATTGAAAGAAATTAAAACATTTTATTTGGGAAAAGGCAGGAGCAGAAAGAGAAAAGCATGAAGCATGGATGCAGCAGGGTGAGAGAAGAAACTGTAACATGTTTTCCAAAGACCCTCAGAACCAGCATTAGGTGCTTTTAAAAATGCAGATTAATGGATCCTGCTATAGACCTATTAATAGACTTGTTATTGGGCGCCTGGGTGGCTCAGTTAGTTAAGCGACTGCCTTCGGCTTAGGTCATGATCCCGGAGTCCTGGGATGGAGTCCCGCATCGGGCTCCTGGCTTGGCGGGGAGCCTGCTTCTCCCTCTGACCCTATCCCCTCTCATGCTGTTTCTCTCTCTCTCTCTCTCTCTCTCTCTCAAATAAATAAATAAATAAAATCTTAAAAAAAAAAATAGACTTGTTATTGGTGGGCCCCAGATTCCAGATTATTCTTATATGTCCTAAAGTTTAGACATCTGGCAAGAGACGTCATCAGGTAGCTAAAAGCTACTCTTCCCTCCAAGAGAGTCTGTTGAGAGGCTGGGAGTAGGTAATGAGTCCCGACCCTTGACTGCATTTGATAATCATTTCCTTCCTGACTTATGCCCCTTGGCAATCAGAGGTTACTGGAAAGATGAGTAGTACGGTCATCAAATCCTAGGTTATTAGAATTTAAAGGGGGAACTTGGAGACAGTCTCAGTGTTTTGCTCTCTTTTCTCACCCAAGGACAGCACCCCCATAAAGAAGCAGCAATTGCCACAGTTACTGTACTAGATGAAATGCAGTCAGCAGTCATCTATGGGTTTTGTTTTTTTTTTAAGATTTTGTTTATTTGACAGAGACAGAGATAGCAAGAGCAGGAACTCAAACAGCAGGAGTGGAAGAGGGAGAAGCAGGCTTCCCCCCCGAGGAGGGAGCCAGATGTGCTACTCCATCCCAGGACCCTGGGATCACGACCTGAGCCGAAGGCAGATGCTTCACGACTGAGCCACCCAGGCGCCCTCATCTGTGGGTTTTTAAGTGCTATCTTCCCGATCCCTCCTCCTCATATAATTAAGAGTTGGCTGAATTACTGTTCACCACCACTGGAACATGTTGCTTTATTCTTGGTACAATTTTAAAAGCAAATACCAGCTAATTTCAGGAGGCGGCTTTATTTAGTATGTCCCTTAACTCTGTGAGTAAGCTGTTTATGAGAGAGAAGAAATGGGAAAGCTTATAATTATCAAGTTTCTACAGAATAAATTGCTTTCCTTGTGGAAGAACTAAGGTATCATTTTCCTGTAGCATTCAGTGCTAAGAGTTTAAGTAGTAAGCTATTGGGGGCGTTTGAGTTAGTAACCATGGCTTCAGAATCACATTCAACACACTTAAAATATATGAACATTTGTAAATCATTTAATCTTGCTTGCTGTCTCAACACTGGACTTTACCTAGAAAAAATAAAAATTTATATCATTCAATCCACAAGTTTTATTGAACACAGTACACTTAAAAGGTTCAAATGTTGCATCACATGACTAAGTGCGGCAGGAATTGAGAAGAAAGAGAAATCAGTGTGGCTGGATTCATTGGAAAAAACTGCTTTGAATAGGTAAAAGGAGGGTACATCCATGGAAGGGAGCACGGTGGATGACAGGAGGGAGAGGAGACCTCGTGAGAAGGTGGCAGGTATGGGAGCAGTGATGAACACTATTAGAAAAAGAGGTACTTCCAGAATCTGGGACACTTGTTAAAATACAGGTTTCTTGTCTTTCACCTATGTACTTGAATCAGTTACTTCCGGGAGAAGCCTGGTTAAGTTGTATATTTAACAAGTGCCCCAGGTGATTCTTCCTGGAAAACTTGGGGGAGTATTTTATAAGTTCCACTCCTCTTTCCAAAGGTATTTATTTCTGGGAAGTTTGGGAGAGGATTCTGGAAGAGTGTTAAAGTCTTTGAGCTTGGGCCCCAATGCAGTTTAGGAGGCCTCTGAGCAAGAACATTTACCTGAACAAAAGCAGGCTTTATGAAAGGGAAGGAGTTGGTGTATTTATGAAAATTCAGTGAGGAAAACTTGAGACTGACACTGTACTGGATGTGGATCGGTGTAGTTGTACAACTTTGGGAGTGGGTAGGTGGGTAAAAATAATGCCATGTAGGTTTTGATGATGTCTACCAATGAAGGAGTGAGGGCATTTATTTTCTGATTTATTGGAAGGAGGAGAAGGAAGTGAGGAAGCATCTGTGTTTGCTTAAATTCTAATCAGGGTTTATATACTTGAATAAATACTGAGAAATTCAAAGATGATGTGCACGGGTATTTGGCTTCATACTAAACTCACTTGTACTTTCATGAAAAGCAGTTAAAAAACATTTTGGATTTATTGTTAGAATAGGCAAAAACCGGGGCGCCTGGGTAGCTCAGTCAGTTAAGTGTCTGACTCTTGGTTTCAGCTCAGGTCATGATCTCAGAGACATGATCGAACCCCCTCCCCCACCGCCGTTGGACTCCTCGCTCAGCATGGGGTCTGCTTGAGATTCTCTGCCTCTCCCTCTGCCCCTCCCTCCCACTTGCTAGCTTGTAACCACTCCTCTCTTTCTCTAAAATAAATAAATCTTAAAAAAAAAGAATAGGCAAAACCAGCCTTCCCACAAGAAGGAGTAAGACCTCAAGTGGATAATTTTAGTTGTCCGCTTGTCTCCATGGAGTGTCAAAGCAACACTTAACATACTGGTTACCATGAGTTCTATGTCAGGGATGTGGGCAGGAGTGCTCAGGGGAAAGAGGGATAAAGAAAATTATTACTGTCATATTTGAATGCCCCCCCCCAAAAAAATACTTTTTTTTCCTTCCAGTATCAACAA